AGTTGGTCCAAGAATTTTTGCAAGAGCTTTCACACAGCTCCAATCTGTGCCTTTCATATATTGTCACAAAACCCTATTTGCACTCTTCACCACTTTCTACACACTGTCATGCTCCTCATGTCTAAACTGGTCATTCCATATTTCCTTCTCTCTTCCTCTTATTTTGCCACTCTGCAAGAAGTAGACTTCCATATGTGAGAAGACATAGGGTCAGAAGAAGGATTAATAAACAGCCCAGATTCCATGCAGCATTCTGTATCTCAGCATACGTTGGAGAATGCTATCAATTTCGTGTCAGAACATGACAATAACAACTGTCAGTAAGAATTGTAAATAATAAAGTATCTGGTAAGAGAAAGTTACTGAAGACTTGTGAGCAAAAACTGAAACTCTTGGCTTTCTAGCAGAGCAGAAGTACTCTACTAACTCTGCATTGGTAAAGTGAAGATGTGCTCAGATAGGAATAAATAAGGTATGGAATACCTAAAGGCCAAATTTTGAGACACGGTATTACATCTGTCTCCTTTTGACAACAATCAGAAATGGAGGTGGTTCAGCACATCACAGGATTTTTCAAAGGCAGACCTGGCAGTAGCATTTTTAGATTTCAATGCTTCAGACATAATCTTAATTTCACATCAAGAAATGCATCTGCAATTAATTTAACTTTAGTCGTCATGCATAATCAACAAATAATTATACACACAGACTGCTCAGACTGCTGGTTGTGTGCTCTTTGGTGTTTGCACAGAATTGCTGTGGTGCACATGTGCACACAGTTCAAGTCAAAGTTACAACAGCATATTGACCATTATGTTTACATTTTTACTATAATACATCTTTCCAAAGTTCCACATAAACCAATTTTCAAACTGTAATGCAAGAATCATTTTTGAAAGACCAGCATAATAAAGTACTATTCCTATTTCCAGAGGAAGCCACATTGTCTACAGAGTTTTGCAAAATTGACAAAACTTCAAGACTTCGTGACTTTAACATTAACACGGACTTCACAAATACTATTCAAAACCTTCTTCCCAGCCAACAGAAAATTGCCAATATTTCAATGTAAATCACAGCTTCCACAAGACCTCTATAAAAAGATCTGGGAAGAAACACTTACAGTAGCATATTTAGCATCCTTCACCTAGCATTACATGCATGTTGGAGTACTCATATACAATTCAGTTCTCTATGACAATACTCAGTCCCCCATAGCAAAATTACAAAAACATCAGTGAGGAGAGAAAAAACTCCAAACCATAAATAATTTATAACTTTGTACTTTTAAAATAAAATCTCACTTCAATTTAGAAATTTGATAGCATATTCCTGTGCTTTCAGACTAATCAGAGAATCATAGTTGCGCATCATTTGTATTTATGTACACCTGAAAACCACTCTATGGGTTGCGTTACCACAAAAAAAAAAGTAAAAAAGTAAACAGGCAAGGCATAGCAGATTAGATATTATAAACTTAAATAAGTAATTTTCAGTATTTTAACTTTGTATTTCATAAAATCCATTGTATGGACGCTCACAAAATTAATCTGAATATTTGCATCAATATTTAGTGAGATTATGGGAAATGCCACTTTCCTATAGATACAATTAATACACGTCCTTAATGAATTCACTACATACAAGGTATTTTTTCTTAATTTGCATCAAATGGGAAAAAAGACAATAGCATCTATAAATATGAAAATAGATATAGATGAAGTCAGCAGTAATTTTCTGGGAAAAAAATAAAAGCAAAAGTCAATGTAATTTTAAAGATGAATGTGTATTTTTCACAACAATTAATAATGGTATGAATCCCACTGCACTGGATTGCAAATAACTTCAGCTGAATACAATTGCATGACATGGGATTTACTTATTCTCTATGTTCACAGAAACAACTTGTTCTCTGACAGCACTCATTCTTGGCAATTTATTGCACCTGTCAGCAGCCCATTTGTTCAAATTAGTGCTATGCATAAAGGTGTAACAGTCATGAGGATTTATTAACTGATAATCGTAAAGGTGACAGTCAGAATTGCCTTCAAAAATATAAATGATAAGAAAGCTAAATTATTACACGATGATTAAAATCATCTTCATTTTGATCTTAGTATTACCTACATACACTTACTGCAGTACGTTTTTAATCACAGGACCATATTGACTCAACATAGTACATAAATTATTTGCTCATAGCAAAAATGTGAATATTAAATATATTCACTGAAAATATATACACATACATATTTCTACTTATCAGATGTAGCAATAACTAATGCCACTTATGCAAGTCTATACATTTCTTATGCGAGAAGGCAGCCCATGTGGCTCTAGCACCTGGTGCCTTCCATAAAAAGAACTTCTAGACCTAATTTTTTGGTCCTGGAATGTTGATTGTTTTTAAAAAAACTGTATTCAGAAGGATGGAAGAATTAATCTCCTGTAAAATGCAGCTCAGTTCTAGTCAAGTATACTGTTTTCTCATACAAATCAGCACACAATTGGAAATACATTTTTGTCAAAGCTCTTGTATGAGGTCTTTTCCCAGGCTTTTGAAATACTGAAATAAGGAAATAAACACAGAATTCGTTGTAAGGTTTGGGGCTTTTTAGAATATTCTGAGAAGAAAGTTCACAGGCTGCTACAACCTTTAAACTCTCATGAAGAATGCACATAACTGAAATTCAAATGTATTTTATTAACAAAATGCTCCAAGTTAAGAATGGAAATCAATCAGTCAGCATTTCATTTCACACACTGCCATACTCAGCATGCCTGGGCATCAAGATGAAGACAGAGTTGCATGCTACTTCTGTGACAGACGTCTCCTTTCACTTTTCTGAACTAGGATGTCATGCTGTCACTCACCCTTTTAACACCTTCCTCCCTCTTACAGGCAGACCTTACAAGCCATATCTTCCACTTCCAATTTCACCACCCAAAAACCAGAATCTCACTTCCATATCTTCAACCTTCTTGGACATCTTTCCTGTATTTTTCTGCCCTCAGAAATGGATTGCAAGTCCAACTCTTTGCATCATTGCTACCATGTCACTTTCCCAGCTTTCACCTCCCCTTACTGTGCTCCAGGCTAACAAGGACAATAATATACAAGGGCCACAGAAGCCTATGTTCTTGATTTCCCACTTCTTCTATTTCACAAAAGTGCAGCTGAGACATGATGTCATTCTGGGAGAATTTACAGCATTCTGGTTCTGAATAGAATTTGCAAGTAACAGAGCTTAGAACAGAAAAAACACAGGTTTTCTGTGTTATTTTCCAGGAAGATCCTGGAATTTTTCCCTTCTACCTTCCACCTGCGAAACCTTTTCTCAATTTGGTCAGTGCTTCAATCTAATGTGCCTTCTCCCTAGGCATATTTTGTCCAGGCGGGACATCTTCAAGAAACAGTTGTTTTCATTTGTATTTAATAGAAATATTCTTATATAACATTACAGCTGTGCCTTGCACATTATTCAAGCAAGCAGGAAGATCCTCAGCAAGATGAAATGGATTACCCTTCATTCTTGAGCAATGGTAGAATGCTACCAGGAAGTCTTCTGTTTCCCTCCCACAGCCTCATTATCACTTCTTCTGGAACCTGAATCAAGATATTCAACTTATTATGAGTATCTTGAAAGCCATAGAGCCTTAGTAATGGAGCACGACTCAGTTGTGCTTTTAAAAACTAATACACACTTACCAAACACATGCATAGAGCAAGTCTGTAGTGTGTGCACCAAAATATTTCCAGCTTTTAGGGACAGCCTTGAAAGGAGAAACTGGGGAAGAGAGGTCAGCATTAAGTGGAGCTGTCAGGTGTTGGTGATTTTTATCTGCAGTGACTGGAAAAGAATATCAGGGAGGGGGAATATTAAGACCTATTTTCATATTCAGATTGAACTTGACAAATGACAGTTTTTCATGGAAATCTCCTTGGAGAAGAATTTTTTTGCAGGTTACATTAGCAGAGATACGGTACCAACAGAAGGTGAAATGAGAGAGTGTCTGCAAGGACAAACTGAAGAGGGATTATATGTACACTGACAGAAGGGTCAAAAAAATCAAGAGCAGCAAGATTTCAGCAAGTGGTGCTTGGATGACGATGCTCTGAAAAATCACTCATGAAAACTTTGTATCTCACCAGATTTTCCTAAGAAGGTTAGAATGAAAAAGAAAACTGGAATAATTTCCCAAGGTATATAACATGTAATATGTGAATGTGACAGTGTAGGCACCTCCAATAAAAACAATCAAAATATATAGGATTAATAATTATTAATTATTAATTATTAACACTATTATTATGACTGTGTGGATATCAAGGAAAATATGAATTAAACAAATATCTGAGCTTTCCAAACAGCACCTAGTTTGTAGTAGCTATAAGCACAAGGCATTTTTTGCCCTATTAGCTAACTGTTAATGCCACCTCCTCTTTGGTAAAATGGAGCATAGCCATACAAATATAAGCTATTTCTTGAACTCCCAGACAGATTCACTTCTCCTGAGTATGAATTAGGTGAATGATTCTTTGTCCCCAAATACATGTGTAGTCCTTCAACTCTGTTTTCATTTACCAAAAAAGACTGGTACATAAATTTGGTCTTATGCATCAAGTCAAGAGTTATTTCTCCTCCAAGCTGGATTTTGCTATATGGAACCCCCTGCACCTTGGTAATTGCCCTAAACATGGGACTTTTATATTTGAAAACCTCAGTCTATCAATTGGTAAAAGCTGCCACCTACTGGTCAATAAAAATTATATTATCATCAATACAGAAATGCAGCAAATTTTACTGGAACATTGTAGAAAATCCTCCCTGAACTTAAAAAAAAAAAAAAAAAAAAAAAACAAAAAAAAAACACCAAAAAAAACCCAAGAAACCAAGAACAAATGGTCATAAGAAACAGTTTCAATGGCAAAGCTCATTTTAATCATCCTCTCTCATGGACTTCTCCCTGCGGACCAAGAAGGCTAAAATTGCACAAACCTGCCAATGAAATCATCCTTTTTGCCAACATCTTTGTCCCACACGGTAATATCAATAATTCCACCTCGTTCTTCATACAGATGAAAGTCAAACTGCTCCCTCCACTGAGGATTCAAAGTTTTTGGAACAATCTAAAAAGAGAATAAAAAGAAAGTCATATTACATTGTGTAGGCATACACTTTCTTAAATTGTAAATTTGATCATTAAAGTCTGTTCAAGAAGCTTTTTCTGTCTGCAATATCAATATCTCAAGCAGTGAGAATTTAAAAATGGTAATTGGGAAAGACTACTAGTCAGTTCTCTCATGCCTCTCTGATGTAGCAGCAATCTCAAAATCCTGCAACTTGTCACCTTCAAAAGCCTCCTGAACAAAGAATTTGTCCTGGGAATGGAGCCATTTCTCTGTAGAAAAATTATGTCCTCTGTGAAGTGACAGTTAGCTATAAAGTTAGGTTTCTGAGCCCAAAGGTAAACAAAGCACTTGCAATGACACATAGATGGTGACTGTAAGTACTTAAACAAACAATTGTATCATGTCCTTTTTTCCCAGCTGCAATAATATTGGGAAAAACATGATACTATGGCTTACTTTCTATGGAATAAAATAGTTCACTTCCAAAACTATATTTTACTTCCTTTCCTTTGAAGCTCTGATGAAAGCAGCTTTCTTAAAAATTTCGCTCCAAATTTTCTACTATAATGCAAAAGCAGTATTCACTGTCCTAAGAAAGAATAGAAGACTCCTAATATCTTCCCTATTTAGCAAACACTACTCCCCACAACCACCAGTTCTACTGGCTTGGAAAAAAAGAAAATTCAGAAAGGATTATGAAAATATGTAATTCACAAAAGCATGACATTTTATTACTTCGCATTTCAGATTTAGAGGCCCTAATGCAGGCTCAGAGGTCTACAAATATGACAAGAAAATGTTCCTGCCCTCTTCCTCAATTTACCCTTCATCTGGCCATGAAAACCACAGTGACTGTCATGGCCATGGAGAGAGGAAGGTCATGTGCATCATTGACAGTCCCAGCATCTCTCCTGAAAACAGCAACTTTCAAAATGTCAGGGACCAAGAGAAAAAAAAGTAGCAACAAAGTCTTCACAATAATTATCTCCTGTCTACCTGTGAAACTCATACATGAAGAAAACTTTAATGAAACTTGTTGTTAAGGACATGAAGAGGAAAGTGAGCTTATGAACATGACATGGTTTGAGGATAAGACAATGCAAAAGGTCCAAAGAGGCACCCAGTATCAAGCCAGGCAGACCTTATCAGAATCACTCTGCATCCCCTCCCTGCCATGAATGACCCGTCACAGGAAATAAAAGCCAATACAACTCCTGTATGGAACATTAGGTATGTCCCCCTGCAAACTCACATTTTTCAGTGCAACATATTTTCCCATCTAGTACTACTTTTGTTTATAAAGAAACAAAAAGAAACATTTAAACAAAGGTCCAGGGGCACTGACAGGTAATTATTACAACAATAAATCTTCATCACCATTGAAAGTCATACAAGCTAAAAACACCAAACAGGAACAAAGCATTTAAAAAAATTTTGGTTACATCTAAAATTACCTTGCTCTTGTACTTCTGATGCCCCAAACGAAACTTCACATAAGGATCGCTGAGCCCATTTGCATCCATCGCCTTAAGTTCACGACCTTCTATTAAGGTAACACTAACTATCCCTCTCCATAACTGAGACTTTCTGTGCAGGTCTGAGAGACGTAAGCTCTGGGTCTGAAACTTTATGGAAACAAAATAATAGATATAGTTAACACAATTCCAAAAATTTCCCCTGCTTTTAATGTTCTGTTTCATGTAACTATGAAATAAATCAACCACTAAGACATTTTGAAGCTATTTGGACAATACATATGCAAACTATATTGCAAATAATTATTTGGAGAGTAATAAAATTGCGACAATTACATGGGAAATGTCATATGCTGCATTTGCAGAAACAAGCAGAACAAATACTGCCCAAAGAAAGGTTCATTTTTAAAAAAGGGGTTTCTTTCTGCTTCACTTCTTCTTCTGCTGATAGAATAAAAAGAAATGTTAGAAATTCTCTTCTATTAGTAGCATAGATTGAATGAACTTGAACAAGCTTCATATTTTTAAACATAAAGCCCTGTTGAGAATATAACCTTCCGTTAGAATTACATAATATAAACCCACCATGAGAAATATGTATCAAGGAAAAATAATTCAATGAACTCCTCTATCTCTGCCTCTGAAATGATGTGGTATCCTCAGAAACATGAATTGAGTACCAGCATGTAAGTTCAAGAGTTTGGAAAGAACAAAACCTCTGTTCAGAATTGTCTAGAGGCTTGTGGACTTGTGAACCCTCAGCCACTGATTCTGGGAGTTAAAATAAGATTCACACACATAAACCAGGCAACTACAACTTTCGTCAATGAACTCCATTGGAGGTTTGAGAGCAGGAGGATATAAACTTGAGTAACTTAAGATCATTTCCAGTTTGCTCTGAGCTACAGTGGGTACAAGGTACCAGAACTGGGGAATCCCTTTTGCACTCCTACGGAAGACAAATGTGCCTTGAGTGCGTCCAAGAAGCAATGTTGGTAAAGGCTCTCCCTTCTATTCTGAAACTTTATTCATTAAATGCTACCTTATCTATAATCAGAACACTACATAGCTAAACTATATTTTAACTTGCAAATTATTTTCTCTAGGAATCAAATAAAGGAAGACTGCATGTATACTCTGCTGTAACTATAACTTTATTATGTAATGTAATTTGAGAAACAAAGGCTTTGTGGGCTCAGCAACCTGCACACATGCAGGCCTTGTATGCCTGGCTTCATCCCTCACAGACCTCCACTATCTCTGTAAGAGGGTTTCAGTGCAGGTTTGGTTTTAGTCTTTTAGACAGTAAACTCAGCTGGATGGCTACAGCTATGCAGGTGCCCAGGACAGGGGTTTTACTCTATTACCCAGAGACAATGATAGAGATCAGACTGGATTATAATCACACTCACCCAGGCTCCAGAGAGAATAGACATGAGAACTGTGGCCACTGGGCTTGGAGCAAATATGATTAACATACTTTTTGAAGTATTTCAGGTATTTTTTGGCACGCATTTGTGTTTTCTAATGGTTATTCACTCCAAGTATTATGGCTATTCTCAAAATATTTCACTATTTATTAAAGGTTTCTCTTCCTGAAGTGAAGGATTTGACTGCAGAGAAACTTTTCACGAACTTGCTGTTTCTACAAAGACAAACAAGGAAATGTGTGTGGAATAATCTTGAACTTAACCTGCAACATGTAGCAGCAGTGGGACATCAGATAGCAGACCCTTTACAAAAATTAGGGCAGAATTGGGAAAATCAGTTTCCAGAAGAGATTTCATTTATAACTTGGGAGAATTATATAAACTTTTTCTCAGCACAAATACACCTCTCATTGAGGACATACTGTCAACATTGCCAATAACTTGATTTGTAAAGAAGTGGTAAATTTTTTTATTGTTCCAGTTTCTTAGAAGGCTTAGAGCAAAACAAAGACTGGTTAATAACTGGCTCTGCCCTGAACACAAGATGATGAGAGATACAGAAAGAAGACCAGACATGCTTAGGAAGGTATTTAATATTGGGATGTAACCAGTGGTTGAGACTTCTTCTGCAAAGAATATACAGTTCTTGGGAGTGTTTTAAGAGCTGAATGGGTATCTATATGATTTCCAGAAGTCTATCATGAGCTTGCATTTACAACTCTTTTGAAGTAAATCTTAAGCACACTACATAGCTCTCTACTTCTTAATCAGTGAGACAGTGCAAAATTTAGAGAGTATACTTGACCTAAATTTGTTATTTTCAGCAGCTCTTATAACAATTTGCTGCACTAGATCTGCCCCATCATCAAGCAAGATTGATTTTTTTTTCTGACCAGTCAGGAGTTTCATCAGTGGAGGTAATTTCCATACAAGGTAGCAAGGTAAGATCTAGATGACCAAGAGCTGGGTGTAAAATGACAGACAGGTCAGACAGGAGTTTACAAGAGTCAGGCAGGAGGCTGGAGAACAAGAGTTCATGTGGTGCAGGAGGAAGCCCTTCCAGGTCACAGCCACATCTTGCAGACAAGGACAATCAAAGCTTTATGCAGACCCTAGCAGAATCTTGACTGACACTGAAGTTCCAGAGACTATGTCTTGCCATGATGGAAGAAAAGCAGACAGCTGCTAAAAAGAGGTATTGGTTGGTTGTGGCTCTTTCTTCCTCAACGTATTGAATGCAGACCACAGCAGTGCTTGTTTCTGTATTTATTGGTAATACACAGACACATGGAACAGCAAAAGGGAGAGGTATTGAAAGAGTCAGAGCATAGCTCACTGAAGCTACAGCATTGAGATTTCCTGGACATGAAAATCATAGTCTATGTGGCCTTCTCCAACAAGAATAACTCCCAGCTGGCACTTTTCTTGTTTCTAAGCAAGACTGAAGAGAATCCAACACGCTTTTCTTCCAGTCAAAACCCCACTTATTCTCAGAAATTACAGATAATTTACTAACATAACCTCTTTTTTCATATAATGATTCTTGTAGGAAGAAAAACAGAAAAAGAATGTTCAGATTTCAAGTCAAATATGACAAAAAGACAGCTGAAAAAAAAAGGGAAAGTAAGACTGATTTTCACATTCTTTCCTTATGAATTTAATTTCACAGTGTGAGACAGGCACATTTCTAGGTACATTTAGGTATCTAAGAAACCTGTAAAATCCAGCCCACAGTGAGATACAAATTCAGAAAGGTAACAATGAGAATAAAATAATGAAATAAGCATGTATCTTTCTCAATTTCTCCTTTGAAGGACTGTTTCTCAAGACTTATCCTTAGGCAACTTGTTTCCCTCAGAAAGCATGTAGTGAGTATTGCAGCCTAGATTCACTCTTGTGCCACAAACAGGAAAAAAAAAGAAGAAACTGCACAGCTTTTCATTTGTCTGTAAATAGGTGGGAATTTACAAATTTCGTATAAAATGTCACAATTTGGAAAGAAGCAAGATCAAAATCTCAGTCCACAACCGTCATTAATGTAGGACTATTGTTTACATTATTCACATTTTTGTGCAGGATACAGGCGTAGTGACTCCCATCTGACATGTCCTGAACCCCCAAAGAGAGGGGATGGTGGGTAAGTGCAGCCTGCATGCAATGAAGTTTTCTCCCTGTCTCTTTTTCCAAAACGAAATTTAAATTTGACTTCTGAAAAGGAGTCTTTCATGCCAAAGGACGCTCAAGGCTACCTGTGAAAGAAAAACCCACATATTTTCATATCTACACACTGCTTTAATGCTTAATAAACAGCAAGCAAACCCAGCACTTTCTTATGTGAAAAAACACAGTTTTTACTTGTGTTCCACCTATTCTGTGGAAATGTGATGCAGTGGGTGAGCTAGGGGCAGAAAAAGAACCTTCTGACAGAACTGCACCCTCAGCTAGATGTGATTAATACAGCTATCCAAATGTCAGAACTGAGAGATGATCTAATAAACATGACTTAATATTCTGTATGCGTTCAGGTATTTCTGGATAACATTAAAGGATGGGAAACCAACAAGGCTTAGTCAGAATCTGGGCATTGATCCCAGGATAATCAATACCACATTGTTGATGAGCTGTTGTTATTTTCGTCAAAAGAAGAGATGCACTTTGTTTGTATTTTTGAAAATCCCCTCATATTTTTGTTTATCTTTGGGTAGCTAAGTGTCCTCTGAAACTTTAGTCCATGTCAAGTGGGAGAAACCCCACACACTGTCTTCTCACAGCCCAATTTCATTTCGTCATTGATCAGCCCTCATGCCCTGCAAAGTACCACCTTTCTCACAGGTATGTGCGTGTACAAACAGACTCTGCTTTTATTAAATCTCCTCCTTATTACATGCACCCCTAAGACACACAGCTCCTCTGAGTTCTGGGATACAATAGACAGAAATAGAAAAGTCTACCAAAAACTTACTAATTTTTTTAAAAAGCAAATCAATAATGCACTTATATGACCTGCAGAGGCACTTCAATCCAAAAAGTAACTTTGGTTTCAAAGCTCAAAGAAATATCAATCAAGAAAGTAGTGAAAAAATATAGAAAAGAAAAATACTTCTCTCCACCACTTAACAGAGCACAGATATAGAAATACAGCAAAGTGATTCAAAGTCAGTGTTGCAAATTCCTGCTGTAAATTCATGTAAATTCATGTAAAGAGAATTCCTCTCCCCCCAGTTTCTAGGATGCTCACAGACTTTGGATAAACAATGTAAAATAAAGATTGAGAATTTCAGTAGATACAACTGCTAGCTTTATCTACAAAACAATGAAAAAATCAAGAGACAGTCACATGCATTTGCAGTGCTTTTCCTATATTAGAAGTGACAAAAAATACTACCTGAAAAGTCTTCTCTATGTAGTTCTTACACGTGTGTCAGAACAGAGTTTGAACTGGATTGAAATATTTTTACATTATCACAATGCAAATTATATAAAGTAATAATTTAAAATATCCCCACATGGTTTTCTGATTATACTGGAGTTCTAAACTTATAACATTACACATTACAATATGTAATAGCTGCAGTCAAGAATGTTAAGAAGTAGACCTTCTCAAACCTTGAGATCCAGCTGTGTGTTTCCTGAAGAGTGTTTGGTGAGGGGAAAAGAGGTTGTGGTCAGCCTGTGTCCTCAGTCAGCCTTTTCAGGTTCTGAGAGAACACTTTGCATTAC